TTTTATAATGCTTTTTTTCCTTTTCAAAGTTATCTTACTCTTTTGCAGTAATGCCTGAAAATTCAAACTTTCCATATCGGCGGTATGATCGGCTCCCTCCAATCCATCAATTCTCCATAGAAAGTGACACGGATCTTTCTGAGACTGCAGAGTTAATTGAGGAGTATGAGGTTTTTGATCCTACTAGACCTCGACCAAAAATCATTCTTGTCATAGGTATGAAGATAGCAGAATTCTCATACTATGGCTAACTTTGTTTATATATTTACATTTCAAAAAATGTCAATTATGTATATTTGAAAATATTTACTTGGATAATGACAAACAATAGAAACAAAAGCTCAAGGGACAGTAAATGGAAATATTTTTAGAATAATCTCAATAAAACAAATTACTATATAATCTATTGGCTTTTGCATTTTTATAGATTCCTATTACAATGTCATACAAATTCTTTATAATGAATTGAAAGTAAGTAATCTTTTCAAGATTTATTGTCCCGTGGTTTTATTTATATAATCTTTAACATAGATAACTGAGTCCATTAGAAGTTTTCTAAGAGCTGGGCACAGTAATAGTCTCAGCTACTCGGGAGGCAGAGGTGAGAGGATCCCTCAGGCCCAGGAATTCAAGTCCAGCCTGAGCAACATAGCCAGACCCTGTCTCTAAAGGAAAAAAAAGGAATATTTTCTAAACATGATGTGATTTTCTCCCTTTAATTCAAAAAATTGAATTTTTATGCACTATTAACTTTAGAGGGAAAAATAAATAATAACATATTGCTGAAGATTCATATACATGAATCTTCCTTATGACAAACTGGCAACTACAATAAAAATCTAAGTTTCCATGTTTATTAGACAAGCCAATCTAATAGAATAGTGTTTTATACTGCATACACATCTGCGCATCAACGAAAATAATAATGATAATAGTTCATTTTTAAAAATTGCTACTATGAATCTTATGTTGAATTACGGAAATGTCAATTCCATGCTATTTTACAAGGCATAGCTATTGAAAATGTTTTAAATATTTTTGAAAAATGCATTTTGGCCACTCTTGCAAATTTTTTCTCAAAATCTATAAAAGTCATGAAGAGACCTGTGAACATGCAACATATGTCCTTATTGTCTCACTTACCAATTAGATTCAACTTTCACAGAGATGACCAAAAGCAAAAATCTTGCATGAATATGTTCAAAGCTATTCTAGCCAGTAACTATTAACAGAGTGCCAAATGTATACAGCCCCCATGCAGAGAAGTAGTGCTTCAAAAGACAGAAGATGGTGGCAACTAGGAAAAAGGCATGCAAAGAAACACCAAGCTATAATAAGAATTTAAGTTCATCAGACTAAAAGGAGAGACATTTGTATATTTCAAAGTGAAATGAAAATGAGATTGCAAATATATTTAACCCTGAATTATTAAAAACAAGCTTTCAAGAAGAGAGTTTAGAAATGAGCTTTCAAAGAGTCAATATTCTTATGGCTTATGCTGGCCACTATTATGCCATAAATCTCTGTTCTTGAAAGTGGAATACTTTTTTGTGTGCTTTAAATTTTTGAGTCTTTACCTAGAAGATAAGGAAATACTTTATTCAATGACAGAGCTACAGGTGAAGAATAATTGGGAATTATTCCACCATTTTTTTTTTTTTTTTTT